ACAGAATGAACAATATGAGCAACGGCGTCAAGTGTGGATAAATGGGGTTTATAAGCAAATTGTAAAGGGTCATGGGCGTTACAGTGGGGTATCATGCTCAGTTCATACAACCATCAACTGTGCACTTTCGTGCGCCAATTGACTACCTGTTCCAGTGGACGACCGCGATTACCTAAAACTCTACGCCTAACCTCAGCATTGCTCGTTCGGTTTCCCCACCAGACTCGTGCAATGCTACGTAGACAGCGGTGTTCTGTATGCGCGCCGACACTTCATCTGTGATGCGTCCGCCAGGTGAGATATAGCTGCTCAGATAGCAAAACTTATCTACTTTCTCTACAACTTGCTCGATCAGGGTGAGGTTGGGGAGTGAGCCAATGCAATCTTGGATTCTAATCAAGAGCATTTTGGAATCACATTGGAATCAATCTGTATGATCAAATACATTAGCATTTGTTGTAGCGACCAGTGTGTATGCGTGTCAGTGTACGTAACCAAGGGAACCGTAGGCGTATCATCGTTACGATATCTAAACGAACTCGGGCATGACTCTAAAACTGATGCAACATGGTTGGTTGCTTTCAACCTTCCAATCTTCATTCTGCTTTTTTACCCAAATGTGGCACCAAAAGACAGCAAACAAAACCGGCGCATGAAAGTGCAGGGTTAAGGGTTGTAAAAACTGGAACTGGTTGGTGGATAAGGTCGGTCATGATGTGCTGCATTAATTCAATTTCAGGACAAAATGTTGACCACAACAAAACAAACCAAACATTTTCCACTTGGCGGTGGTGGCCAAGCAGTTATGTCACCAACTTGTGACCTGTGAGTACCGGGTTTGAACTGCTCAATTACCGCCGCCTGTCTTCCCAGACAGCGTTTGTATGGCCGCGGCCTCCTTCCTGAATGTTGACTGTACATTTGTGTATTCAATAAATAAAGAAGGAAGTAAAAATACATTTAATTTTTTTATTTTACGTATATTTACGAACCAGGCCTGAAGTTCACCATGATTACGCTTGTCTAGGAAAAAATATGTGACTAAACGAGGGCTTATATATACTCCCATTCATGCACTGGACAATATTTCGTTCACCAAGGGGTTGGAGAGAAATATGCAAGTTCCCCATGGAATCCGTCCCCCTCCCCCCAAAAAAGTGGTGGGATAACGAACCGGTTGAAACACGATTATGTACCACTGAAGTATGATTCAAAATCTGACAAGAAATGTTAAACAGTAGGAGACCCGGATCGACCGACAAGATCGAGACAACAACACACTTGGCAATCAAATACGCTTACAGTGTGCCTGGTACATTTGGCTTGGCACCTGCACTGATCAGTGCCTCTATGGCATTTTCGTGTCGTTCATGTACAGCTATAACCAGCGGGGTTTCGCCATCTGCAGTCACACAGTTCGGATTGGCGCCCTGATTTCGTTCCAGAACAAAAAATGGAAGGAAAAGGGTCAAACGGGATATGGGAAAGAAGACAACAATGAATATGAAACCAATTTATTGGTTAAAACCGGTGGCATTTTAAAGAGTAAACATTAAAACCGTATCTCTATTAAGCACAAAAAACTTGACAAAAACTTGCGAAACGCAAAATTTCGTTTCTGAAGGTATCCGTGACAAAAAGCGAGGAGGCAGTATGGAAATTCAGAGATACCGGATTTCGCTGTGCAATAATCTGATGACGAGAGGCAGAGAATCAGCACTACCTGTTGGATAAGCTTCACTGATTTGAATATAGAATTAGGAAAAAAAATAAAAGTGAAAAAGCACCGATAAAGAAAACCGTGTCAGGAAACCACTTTAATTAGAAACATGAAAATACATGGAGTTGGGAGACAAGAAGTGACAAACGACCATTTTGCATATTAGTATGAACATTACGGCGACAGTCCATTAACAGGTGAGCAGAGTATAAAGCTGATTCCGTACTTAAATATAGATTAAAGGTAAAGTAGTGTTGTGAGGTACTACTAACATATGTGGGTAGTATCCGAAATATTGCGGTTGCCGGGATCCTTCAACGATCAAAATTTAACAAGACCACTGAGGGCGAATTGCTGTGCCTCAAAGAATAACTACGGACTGCTCCAGTGTGTACTGCCGGGAATTGCAATGACATGTTTTAAATGAGATATCTGTTACATGTGCGCTAAATTACTGATATCCCAACTGTAATCTGCAATAAACAACTATCCTCGACCAGGCACCGCCTTTTGGAATTATAACACTAAGAAATCGTCAGTATTTTACGATTATTTGATTAGAAAGCAATACGGAAATATCAGGCTGTTAGGAGACGAAGTAGAAATTATCTACCTGGGATGAAGATCAGTGCATTGAAATACCTCTATATATGAGATGTATTGACAACCTAGGTTGTGGTGCGAAACTTTGTCCTAAGGATCAGGGGCCAGAAATTCCTTTCTCTTGCTCACGCTGCAAACAGGGATCAGATGAACTGGTCAAAAATTCTCAGAGTTCACCGTGAAGCAAGAGAATAACTAAAACCTAATCGAATTTCCTCCGTTTCAGATCAGCTCGGTCAACATGATCATTAACGGAGTACTTGAGCAAAAACCGGAACCGGCGATGATACGCCATCTAAATAGATCGGATTAGACTTCTACAAAAAATCTAAAGACAATCATGAGACTGCACCTTGACGCGGTGTGATAGCTTGCGTGCATCCATGATCCTGTGATGGCTTTTCACAGCCGCGGATCCAATCATGCCTGAAAGATCAATGTGTAGAGGCCAGAAAAAGCTATCTAACAAGGCCAGCTGATTCGGCACCTGACTTCCTTTAGCTATCCACGTCAGCCGCTGGAGGTTACTCCAGCAAATAAACAGGGAGAAGCAATCTACTGGTAAAAAACCCACTAGTCAGTGGACAGCTTGGGCGGTGGTGACCAAGTGGTCAGGTCACCAACTAGTGACCTGGGTGTCCCGGGTTCAAACCGCTCCACCGCCTCCCGTCTTCCCTATATCTGTATTTTCCCCAGGCAGCTTTTGTATGGCCGCAGCCCGCTTCCTGAAAGTTAACTGCACATTTTTATATTCAATAAATAGAAAAAGGAAGTAAAAAAGACATTTAATTTTTTATCGCACGTTCAAGCGGGCGGCTCCCAGCCAATAATGTGCTGTTCCGTCCATGTTCTGCCCGTCTCATTGAGTGCACAAGACTAAGAGCCACTCCCCAAAAGCGGACCGATAATCCATTCACCAGCAAAGAACACACTAAATCGAGACCCGAAGACAGGCGTGGCAGGTTTCTAGAAGCTCCCACACAGGTGCTTCGATCACGCTCTTGCGTTCGATCTACGCCCCACTGCCTTACGGGTCAGAATTTTCTCCAAAACATCCACAAATTCCCGTTGCCTTGCAGGCTTCGGTCACAGGTTCCGGTTAGGGTTCCCAAATATAAACACCTTCGTCAGAGTGGGCTACTACGAAGTACATCGTGCCCGAAATTCTTAGGTACCCGCTCAGAAACCCTCTTTTTCCACTGACCAGTTGTCCCTTTCGCTCCCAAATCTTAGAAGATGCCCCCTATTTACGCTATTCAGGGTTTAAACACTAAGATTAACCAATCGAAAACCATAGCGTTGATAAAAGCAAAATCTTCATTTCACTGATTGCACTCAATGTACGCACATTCTGTCAGATCGA